TCAATCTTTTGAATGCTTCTGTTGGTAATAGATAGTCATTGTATTTCTTGACAAAAGCAACAACGTCTTTCCAGTTTGCTTCAGGGTAGTTGGCGTTGGACCATTTAACATCTTCAAGATCAATGTGGACTCGAGTTCGTCCAATACCCGGCTTACCATGTTTGGCAAATACTTTACATGCTGCCCTATCATGACATTTTTGATGGCTCTCAAAAGCAGAATTCAGGCAGATTGGGTATATCATCTTCTTACCATTCATATTGTTATTTGGTTTTTCGAGGTGAGGATATCCACCCTTAGGCACCTTGGCACTTTGAAAGGCAACAACTGGATCTCGTCCCCTCATTGGAGTCCTTGCTTCATTCCACACAAAAGGTGGAGTACCAATAACAAATACTACCTTATCCTTCTCCTTGTCTTTTCCAGGCTTAGGAGGACCATTGCAATCATCGTGCAATAGCTTGTTCCAAGATGACCGATCGGAACCTCCAGAAGCTTGATTCAATGCCTGTAGAAAAACAGAAATACAAGGGGACGACCAGATTGGATCCTGTAAGCTGTAGTAGGTTTTATCCCACTTGTCATACATTGCATCTCGATATTTTTGAATAGCCAATTTCAGATGGGCAGTTCGAGTTGTACTTCGCCGACTCTCCATCGAAGAGGAGACAACCATGAAAGGAAAGTTAGGATGACTTGCAAGACGAGCCTCATGTATTCCATAATGACCCATATCAGCTCCAGACCGGTAATCCACAAACGACTTCAAGTGGTACAAAAGCTCTGTTAGGTCACGAATGTATTCCGTGGTACACATTTCCGGATACCTCATCCACAATCGCATCAAATCCCCATTCTGCATCAAAGTGTTGCACATTAAAAACAGAGTATTACCGAAGATGGAACGCTGAAAATCCCCATCATCATAATCTGCACCATCATAGGTTGGCTTCTTAGCACTCAGCATGGCAAAGAAATAGTAGATGATCATTCCCAGTTGCCTCGCTTGGTCAAGAGTTATACCCCCGCATAGAACCATGGTAGAAGACATACCAGTGTCCAAACAAGGAAGGAAGGACAATACCGAGAATTGTTTCTTGGTGTCAATAGGGGGCGGTCTTTCCGGATCCACACTCCATGTGTTCATGTCCAAACCATTCCGGACAAAGACACTGTCCATGACAGTAGTCAACAGCTGCTTGGAAGGTAATCGTAACGCTCCAAACGGCCCAAGTGACAGTTTGGCACGATATCTTATCACCCGGACCATGGCAACTGCAGCTGCATTCCCGTCATTCTTATGATCCACACCTGACATAACCTGTCGTCCAAGTTCCGATGGCATGAGGATTCAAAAGACAGCTTCAGAAGACACTTGTCTTGCTGGTTCGCCATCTTTTCTGCAATGAACAACACCAGCACCCACATCACCGATGTCTTGGAGCAACCAAAAACAACATGATAAGAACACAGGTGGACATATTGTCCTTTGTTCCGGTGTGGAAATAGCCGCGTGCTTTGTTGACTCTAGTCAAATCTTGAGAGCACCCGGCTTTGCAACAACAGGCGAGTAAACAAGGCCACCATGAGGATGTCCCGGGATCATAGCAGCGGGATTTACCATTGTCTGATAGTATCCACCCATTCCGTCAGGCACGAATGTCGGGTGCAGGTACGGTGAATGTGGATACTGCGACGGTGGCGTTGGCTGGTATGGCGAGGGCATGTGATACACTCCCGGAGTCATGTGAGGATGTTGTTGCACTGGCATAGGATGGAATGGCGACTGCTGGACTGGCGCTGTGTGATACAGAGATGGTGCCCGTGCAAATGGATCATGCATTGTAGGAACAGGAGGACTTGGGCTCCCCCAAAAAGGAGACGGAGTTGGTTCAAATGGCCCTTCATGGTCCCTAACATCCATCCTCGGACGCTTATGGGGCGCAAATGGGGAAGTCCAGTCCGCCTTGTCTCTATGAGGACGCGGTGTAGTCGTTCGTCCAGACTGTTGAAATGGTAGATGCTGCCTCTTTAATGGTGTTACAGTAGGTGCAAATGGATCCCCTGCATGAACATTATAACCGGCATCTTAATCTTCAGGAGGAGAGACAGCTGGCACAGGTGCAAGAAAAGATGGCGACGTTGACCATGATACCCCCGTTTGGCGTCCTGTTGTCGGATCACGAGTTGGTGGTCTTGGGGTCGCTGCCATCTGTGCATACGGCCCACCTGCAGTAGGATTTGTCACCCTTCGTGGACCATCATCATTGGGTGGTGGTCCTAGTGTAGCGACATATGCGACCTCCTCCGTATCAGAAGAGGAATCAACTGGATTGTCCAATTGCTCACTTGAATGTAGTTGTTGAGAAGCTGCTAGAAAATCATCAAAAGATTCCCCTGGTTCTTCTTCCACCAGACGTTGTGGTTTATAACCGGGAGGTGCTTTTGCTGTTTTGGGAATATCTTTGACTGGATAAAGATGGAAGGGAGACAGGACCTCCACTGGGTCCAGTGTAAAGTTGGCACACCAATTCGGGCCATCATCGTTCCATCCATCCATGGGCCGCATCATTTGACTCAGAAAAGGTTGGCATTCAGCAGATAGGGTGCCACCACCACCTTGATCCAATGGATATTCCAATGTTCCGCGTTTAAGGAACATATGATACTGCATCCACGCCATCTGGAACGCCTTGGATTGGGCAGCGATAGGTCCACGTCTCACAATTTGAGAGAAATGATTGTGCAAGAAACGGTCTTGTTGGACCTGAAACGGTGCCAACTGCCTACAATCACCAATCAGCGATTGTCCATTAGGGTTATCTATAGTTGGAAAAGTATCCCACAGAGGAAGAGCTGATACCACAGGCACACCAAACGCCTGAGAATTAGCATTGACAGCGTCAAACCAATTTTGAATTGCCGCCTTTTGGGTGCGGAGAAGATGCAACAATCCCCCAAAAACCTTACTATTGCGATTCTCCAGAGAATCACAGAATTCGGCATAGCTAGTTGTTGCTGGCCAAACAAAACCAACTGGGCATTCTGACATAAATGGAAAAAATAAAATTTTCCACGAATCGCCATTCAGCGGTTTCTGACCCAAGGCCAAACCATCAGACATGATCACAGGAAACAACGCTTCTGCAAAAGCCCGACGTCCTTTGTCCAGGGATACACCTAAGGTGGTACCACACAGGGAACCCAACATCAAGTGATTCGGTTCATCAACTGGCCGAGGACACTTCAAGTGGTTTGTCACCGTGGCTTCAAAGATATCAGCCAACAATGGTGCACCAAAACCACTGTCTGCGCTCGTATTCGGTTTTGTCATTACCGGAGCAGAGATGAAGCATAGGTGACAAGGCTCTCCGTCCGCCCCTTTCCGAACAACTAGCGCAAATCCTGGTGGTTTGGTTTCACCAAGCATCAGACGCTGATGGTAAGTCAAACTTGGGTCATTCCATCTCTTGAATTCCGCATCTAACTCTGCATATCGCTCTCTTGCTGGCCGGAAATCCTCAGGGCATGTTACTCTGTAGAGGGGCTTGCCTTTGGAGAGCCGCTCGATGGGAAATCCATAAGAACTTTGGAGGTTCTTGAGAGTTGGACACTTGTTGTCAAGAGCGAGATGATAGTTGAGTTTCCCTTCATAGGGGAGATTCGTAATCGAATCGCGGAGTTCAAAAATTCACCTACGGCAAATTTCTTGGAGAGGAAAGATTGACTGGGCATTCTTGTTGCTGTTGTTGTTGTCAGAAAGGCTGGAGGACTGGAAAACTTGTGAAATTGTCGGCTAAGCTCAACAATCCACCGTAAAAGATGCCTAAGACAACTGATACTCTTGCGATTAAATGTAATAACAGTAAAACTGAATACAAAGAAAGAAATAACTCTATCTTTCTGTCAGTATACTTGCACACAAGTTCGATATGTGTAGATTGGACTTAGGTTGCTGGTGCAATACTGAGATGACGGTCGCCCTACCGTCGTTCATGGAGTCACT